TTTAACAATTGAAATCATATCCCATATTGTTTCCAATCACAAAGGAATAAAATCAGAAGTCAACAAGAAACCAAACTTTAGAAATTATACAAATACATGGAGACTGAATAACACACTCTTGAACAAAGAGTAGGTCACTGAAAAATTCAGAAGGGAAATTTAAAATTTTCTTGAAATAAATGAAAATAGAAGCACCATATACCAAAACCTGTGAGATGCAGCAAAAACAGTACTAAAAGGGAAGTTTATAGCAATGGACGCCTAAAACAAAAAGAAAAGAAAGATTTCAAATGACACAATTCAAGGACTTAGAAAAGCAAGAACAAACCAAACCCCAAATAGGTAGAAAGAAATAACAAAGATCAGAGCAGACATAAATGAAACACAGACTAAAACAAAAACAAAAACAAAAAGATCAATGAACCAAAGAATTGGTTTTTTGAAAAGATAATCAAAATTGACAAAGCTCTGGCCGATACAGGTGTCTCATGCCTGTAATCCTAGCTACTTGGGAGGCTGAGTTTGGGAGGATCACAGTTCGAGGCCAGCCTGGGCAAGTAGTTTGTGAGACCCCCTCTCTCTAAAACAATCAGAGAAAAATGAGCTGGAGGTATGGCTCAAGCAGTAGAGCACCTGCTTTGCAAGTGCAAAGCCCTGAGTTCAAACCTCAATCTCACCAAAAAAAAAAAAAAAAAAAGACTGGGGACATGGAAAAGCAGCCTTTTCTATAAACCAATAATGAATGTGCTAAGAAACCATGAAAGTAATTTCATTCACAATAGCTACATAAAATAAAATGAAATGCCTTGAAATAAATTTGATCAAAGAAGTAAAAAGGCTCTATAATGAAAATTACAAAACACTGATGAAAATATTGAAGATGCAAAAAGATGGAAATAACATTCATGGACTAGAAGCATACTGTTCAGATGTCCGTAAGTACCTAAAGTAATCTACAGATTCAATGAAGTCCCCTTCAAAATACCATGACATTTTTCATAGAACTAGAAAAAAATTCCTAAAATTCATAAAAAAGCCCAAAACCCAGAATGTCCAAAGAAATCTTGAGCAAAATGAATAAGGCTAGAGGCATCACAACACTGATTTCAAGATATCTGACAGAACCACAGTAAACAAAACAGCATAGTATTAGCATAAAAAGACACACAGACCAACAGGACAGACCCCAGAAATAAACCCATGCAAATGGTTCTCAAAGGTGCCAAACACACACTGGAGAAAGGACAGCCTCTTCAATAAAGGGTGCTAGGAAAACTGAAACTGGACCCCTAATCTCTCACCAGTTACAAAAGCCAACTTAAAAATGAGTCAAAGATCTAAACATAAGACCCGAAATTGTGAATCTACTAGAAGAAAACATACAGAAAATACTTCAAGACATGGGTACAAGTAATGATTTTCATTAAACTAGAAAGTTTCTCACTGCCCAGTGGCTTGGAATTTGGTGATGCAGCTCTGTAATCCCAGCACTGGGAGGCAGGAGGATCAAAAATTCAAGTACAACCTGGGCTAAAAAGTGAGATCCTCCCTTGATTATTAATTAATTAGAAAATCTGCACACAACAGGCACAATCAACAGACTGAAGAGACAACCCACACAACTGGAGAAAACATAAGCCAACTATCTGTCTGACAGAGGGTTAATATCCAAAATTTACAAGGAACTCAAAAAATTAAAATTGGTCCAGGCCAAGTATTTTTTGTTGTTACTTGAGAAAGGATCTTCCTGTCTCTACCTCCTGAGGTGTGTACCACCACACCCAGCCAGATTTTTAAAATAAGACTTCAAAAATGTAATAGGCAACCAAAGCACAAAAAGACAAATGGGATTTTATCAACCATAAAAGTTTCAACACATCAAAGGAACTATCTGCAGAATGGAGAAACAATCTACAAAAGGGGAGAAAAATATTTGCAAACTATACATCTGACAGGGGTTAATATCAAGAATATACGAGAAACTCAAACATATCAATAGCAAAACAACAAATAATCTGATTTTTAAAGATGGGCAGAAGATCTGGACATTTTTTAAAAGATGACAAATGGACAGCAGGTATATGAAAAGATATTCAATGTCACTTATCATCGGGAAAACAGAACTCAAAACCACAGTGAGACAATCTGTCCCCAGCGAGAATGGCTATTAGCAAAAAAGACAATAAATTGCAAATCCTGGCAAGGCTGTGGAAAAGGGAACCTCTCACATACATTGTTGTGGGAATATTAGTACAGCTATAATGGAAAAGTGTGGCAGTTCCTTAAGAAATTCAAAATAGGGCTGGAGGCATGGCTCAAGTGGTAGAGCGTCGGCCCAGCAAGCATGAGGCCTTGAGTTCCAATCCCAATACTGCCAAAAAACAAAGAAAAGAAAAAGAAAAAGCTGACCTTGCAAAAAGAGAATAGGTGATTAACAGAGATGGAGGGGAATATGGGGCAGGTTGATCAATAGACACAAAGATACAACTAGATAGGAGGAATACAAGATAGTTCTGGTGTTTTACTGCACAGCAGGGTGATTATAAGTTAACAGGAATAGATTGTGTATTTCAAAATAGCTAAATTTTTTTTTGTAGTACTGGGGTTTGAACTCAGAGCCTCATGCTTGGTAGGCAGGTGCTCTACCACTTGAGCCAGCCCTAGAAGAGAAATTTTTTATTGCTCTCACTACAAAGAAATGATAAATGCATGAGGTAATATGCTAATATCATGATTTCATCATTATACAATATATACATGGATTAAAATATCACAATGTACCCATAAATATGTACAATTATTATGTGTCAATTAAAAAAAAACTTCATCTGGGCTCACACCTATAATCCCAGCTACTCAGAAGACAGAGATCAGGAGGATCGTGGTTCAAAGTCAGCCTGGGCAAACAGTTTGCAAGACCCTATCTCAAAAAACCCATCACAAAAAAGGGCTGGCAGAGTAGCTCAAGGTGTAGGCCCTGAGTTCAAACTCCAGAACTACAAAAAAAAAAAAAAAAAAAAAGGTAAAGTAAAGAATTTGGGGGCAGACAGAACTTGTTTCAGTCTGTTTACCAGTCACATGATTGTCTTACTGATCCCTGAGTTTGAGGCCTCTACTTATTTAGTGAGGATAACTACCTCACACAGAATTACATGAATTAAATGTGGCAATAGATATGACAGAGCCAGGGCTTAGTAAAAGAGATCAGGAAACATTAGCTGCCTTTCCATCCTCCATTCCTCTCCCATAGTCTTCTCTGACTTAACAGGCAGAATACCAGAATTTTGTGTCCCATTTTCTCCTCCAAACACAAGAATCAAAGCAAACAGAATCCTACCTCCTCCAGTCCACCCAAGAAGCTGAAGTCAGGCTTGAGTCCAAACCCCAACACCACTCACTCACTCACTTAGCAAATCCTTTTTTTTTTTTCAGTACTGAGGGTTGAACTCAGGGCCTCGAAATCGGTAAGCAGGTACTCTACCATTTTAGCCACTCCCCCAGCTCCAAGCCAACAGAATGGCGGGGGGCTAGGGTGGTGAACAAAACAGACTGCTGTTCCCCTCATGGGGCTTCCCTGTAGCAAAGGAGACAGACAGTGGTCAGTGAGACAAACAAAAACACCATCCCAAAAGTTGCAAAGGAAAGGTGCAAAGACTACAGAAACAGTGTTGGAGGGTGGAAGTTAGAGAAGGCTTTCTAGAAAAAACGGTCAGCTAAGAGCCTGAAGAATTATTAGACATTAACTAGGTGAAGAAGGGAAGAACATTCCAGGCAGAGGACCAAAACAACAAAAGGGGCCTATGGTAGGGAGGAATGAAGAGCTTTCACTTAGGCAGCTGAGTAAGTCTGGAGTTCATGGGTAATCTCTGGGCTAGAAATGTAAACATGAGAGTCACGTATAAGCAGTGACTGAAGCAGAGGAAGAGGCCTAGGTGAGATCAAACACTAGAGAGAGAAAGGGGCCTATAACAAACATTTAATACCCTAGAGCTGGAGGGTTACTGCAAAGGAGTGTAAAAGGAGTGGCCTGAGAAGTGGTACATGGTGGAAGCTAAGGATGCAGTGTGTGTCCACCAGGAAGTAGTCAACGGTGTCAAACACAACAACAAGGCATAACTACCAGGCTGAAGCGCTGGAAGATGCTGACTGACAGAACCCTGCTCTCCCAGCTGGGCAGCAGTACTGGAAAGGCCTGATACCAGAGAGCTGAGGCCCATGAGATTGCTGAAGCCAATGTGGCTATTTTTCTGGGATTTACTATATGTCTAGAATTTGCCTTGAATTCCCTACTCTGGGGGCTACAAGCAGTTTTCTGCAAGCTCAAAAGTGTCACAGACCTCTAGCTAGGCTCTGCAAGGTTTCCTGTGACTGTGACCACAGTCTGGAGGGGAGTTGAGGGGAAACTCTATAACCAGTTTGTTTCTCTGTAACTGACTTGTCTTTCTGACCACCTGTGAACCATATACTGCAAAACCCCTCTGGTTACATAAGCCACCTGGGGGGTATATAACTCATCTCCTGACACTGATTGGGGATCAGGGGCTTTGAGAAATTATCTCCCCTGAGTCTGCTAGCGTAATAAACTTCCTGCTTCCTGCAAAGTAGTCTCAGTGACTTTGTTTCCCTCGCCATTTCCCACAACAAGATCTTCTCCCAAAGGGCTCTGGGAACTGACCAGGTTAGTTTAGATGCTTACCTGCTAGCATTTTCTCAGGAAAAGAGGAATGGAGGAACAGGGATCCAAAGCATTTGCCCTTGTATCCAATGACCTGGCCTTAGGAACTGCCTCAAATTGGGGTACCAAAAACAGCAAGCCCCAGCCTAGGGTCTAGACATATCCTTGGTCCTGCAGCTAGTTAAACATGTATGGCTTTAGAACGAGGGCAATACTTGAGACCAGACAACAGGAATGCTCAGTGGAGCAGGGCTCTTCCACTCCCACAGCTGGCAAGGTGCCTGGACCGACCAGCACTCTCACTCTTAGCATTGAACCCACTTACCTGGTAAAACACCTGGGCCTTGGGCTTTGACCGTCTCCTTGTCTTGTTCATCTGCCTGCTGTGAATTCTCAATCACCTGGTCCAACTCCTCACTCAGCTAAAGGAAGAAACAAAGCAGGTGAACAAGTCGGCTGCACCAGGTTTGCTTTTCTAGACTAAAATAAGAAAGCAGAAGCTGCTGCTCACTTAATCGTCACCAAGAAACCATGTGATGTAGGGTGCATTAGACCAATTACGTAGATGAAGAAAATAGACCCCCAAAACTCAAGAAATTTCCTGACTGTTGGTTTCCCAGGACTGCCATGACAAAAAGACACAAACTGAGAGGCTTAAAATAAGAGAACTGTCTTCTCTCACATTTGTGGAAACTTGATAGACCAAAATCACAGTGTCAGCAAGGCTGGTTCTTCTGAGAGTTGTGGGGAAGAGTATATTCTATGCCTCTCTCCTAGCTTCTGGTGGATGACAGCCAGAAATTGTTGGCATTCCTTGGCTTATAGGTTCATTTTATTTCCAGTCTCTAGCACCATCTTCACTTGGCATTCTCCCTGAGTCTGTGACTTCTTCACATGGTCGTCTTCGTTTATTTAATTTTTTTTAGTGGTTCTGGGGTTTGAACTAAAAGTTCATGCTTACAAGGCAAGAACTCTCCCACTGGAGCCACACCTGCAGGCCAACATGGTCAACTTCTTTAAGGACACTAGTCATACTTGATGAGGGGCCTATCCTACTCAAAATGACCTTGTCTTAACCTACTACACCTGAAATGACTCTATTTCCAAACAAGGTCACAGTCTGAAGTACTAGGGATAAGACTTCAACATATGGTTTTGGGAAACGAAAAATGGCCATACAATTAGTGAAAGACAAAGCTGGGAGTCACGTCCAAGTTGGTTTAGTTTTAAAGTCCATGGTCTTAACCACTTCCCAGAGGAAGAGGAAATGTGGTTGAGTGTCTGCTGAGAGAGAAAAAGGAACAGTGAAGCTGGTGTCAGTCGCTGGGACTCTGGCTGAAGTCCACCCACTTGAGCTGCAAATGGCAGAACAAAGTAAGTAGTTCAGGTGACAGGAGCTAATTAGCAGCCTGGTATCAGGCAACCTCACTACATCAGTGTTCTCATATGGGAAAAATTAAGCCCCTGGTAGGACAGAAAGAATACGATGATAAACAACAGTCTTCATAGGATTGGGAAGGAGGGGACAGGCAAGATCAGAATTTGGAGGACCAGCTAGCACTGAACTAGAAGGGAGACCAAGCACATACTTGGGCTCATAATATCATCGCTTAAGGTTTCAAGGCATTTCAATTAAAAATTTACCCCCTGGGTGAATCTATGAATCTATTTTTTTTTTCCATCTCCCTCCCTACACCTCCCTTTTGCCCCCTCAGAATCAGGCAAAACCTCCAGTTTAAAGCCCTCCCCCTTTGGCCCCTCCAAGCACAAAAGAAAAGAAAAACAAGTAGGAAATGGTCAGGAGGCTGGAGAAGGCATCATGAGATACAGGCCCATGGTGGGGGCAACATAAAGAAGGTCCCCAAGGTCCTGCTGGCTAAAGGGAGAGGAGAATGTTAGTCCAGGGAAGTCTCACAGTTGTCTTATCTCAGCCTCGTCCAGGTTCACCCTGACCCAGCTGGCAACACCTTCCTCCCCTTCTTGACTACCCAGACATAAAGAGCCCACCTCCTTGCCTGACCCTGGCCAAATTTTCAATATACCCCATTCCCCTAAGCTAAACTCTCCCCTCAATAAAGACGCCTAACTCAGAGCTGGGTCCACTGCAGGAATGATCCAGGCAAAAACACACAGGACATTCTCTAGGATGTCTTCCTCTGAAGAAAGCAAGGGAAGGGGTCCTTCCAGTGCCTTCCACCATGTAGATGTCCCCAAGGAGCAACTGACTCCCAGTGGCCTTGTCCCTGCAATATTTAATAAATATTTTATGAACCCTGCTAGGTTATGTGTAAATAATACATGGTCCTGTTAAGCCAGGACCCCAAAGCTCCCTAGAATCAGCGCTGCCCCATCCTGTTATTTGCTGAGGGGTCACAAGACCCCAGTCACATTCTGAGCTAAGCACTTTCCACATACCAACTCCCCTTCTCCCTTACTGGGGTTTGGACACTTGCTAGGCAATCACTCTACCACTTGAGCCACGCCCCCACCCCCAACTCATCTTTAAAGGGTGAGCTTCCAGTGTGGCCAGAATCTAGATGGATGAGATGGGGGCGCCCGCAGTAATGTGAGACAAGCTCGCTGAGAAGTTTGGGCTGCTCTGGATAGACCAGGGCAGCATCAAGTCTAGAAAAGACATCGATCTGGGGTCAGGACCTAGCCTCAAAGCAAAGCGGGAGAACCTAGGACTGAAGGGAAAGATGGAAACATAGTATCCCTCTTAGGTGTTCGGAGAGGACCCAAGGAAGCAAACAGCAGGACAAAGGAGGTGGAACTGCCTGACCATGGCAAGTGGCAGGTGGAGGGGAACAGAGGAGAAGAATTACCAACAGTAACCAAGGTCTGGGGCCTGGAAGGAAGAGGAGGAGGAGGAAGAGACCAGTTGCACTAACAGAAGTGGAGGACGAGCTTCTCTGAAGAAAACGCAGGAGTCTCAGCGTGCAGGCAGGACAGAGAAAAGACAAAAACAGGAAAGTGATCGTTAAAGTCGTGGGAGGGAGGTGAGACTAGAAGGAAGAGGCCGAGAGAAGCGAGAAGCAGCAATGCCAGTAAAAGCACTTTTGCAAAATTAGGCGGTCACCAAAACAAGAGGTAATTATCTCTGTCATTAAGCACCGCGGGGGCGGCGAGGCCTTGGGTTTGCAGAAGGGCTGACTTCCAACGCACATCTGATCTCGCTGGGAGGAGGGCGCAGCAGCTCCCACTTGTTGCTAAGGACACGCTCCGGCCCGCCCCGCGCCTCTGACCCCGCCGAGATGCCTTTAATAATTCACCTGAGGGTTATGGGTCGCGGCTCCCGGGACCCGGCTCCATCCTTCCTGCAATCGACCCGCAGCCCCCGGAGGAGGCTGAGCGCCCGCGCCGCCGCTCGGCTCCCTGGTTCCCTTCGTGCCCTTCTGCAGCTCTCTGCACCCAGGGACACTAGCGGACGCATTCATCCGCGCACGGCCGCGCAGCCCACCCGTCCAGACCCGGGGACGCCGCTCCTCCGCCCCACGGGACACTTTCCTTGAGTCCCCTTCTCCCTCGTACCTCTTGGTAGGATGTGGAGAGTTCCTGCCGGATCATGGCACTGACCCGAGCTCAGGCACACCTGAGCCCGCCACTGCCGGGAGGCGCCAGGAGCGCGCGCCGCATCCACAGCGCTGGAACCTGCCGGCTCCGCTAAACGAGACCGGTTCCGAGCCGCTTTCCGGAGACCAGGCGGGGCTGCGCTCGGCGCATGCGCCGCGCCTGCCGCTGCCGGGGCAGTGCAGGGAATGCTGGAAAATGTAGTTCCGGACCGGACGCCCCTGGCCCCATGGAAACAAGGAGCCCATGCGTCTCAGGCCTAGCACATGCCTCGTGGTTTCTCACTTCCTCTCTTAGTTGAAGGAGGAAGGATGGAGAAAATGAATGCACAGTGGAACAAGGAGGGCGGGCCATCCGAGTAGGAGCGCCCAATCTATAATTACAAAAGGAAGCTTGGCCCTGTGGTTTACGGTTTACGACCGTAATAAATGTCTGGAGAGGACTTTGGATATTTCAAAGTGATCCTGCAAGGAACCCTAGAAGGTTTCTATTTTACAGATGAGGAAACTGAGGTACCTTGTTTCAGAAAGGATGGGGGAGAGTGGTGATCAAGTGAAGATTATTTCACCCAGAAATAGAATACAGAATGTTACTGGGAAGTCAGCACAGCTACCTACAAGAGAAGAATTCAGGCAAGACTCAGACATGTAGAGAAAGTAATAGCATAGTTTAGTAGAAAAGGAATACATTTTCAATACATTGAAAGTCGGTCATCTCTAGAGTAAGAACAAGAGGACAATTATTTTTAATCTAGCACAAGTTTTTATTGAAGTGGGAGGAATTTGGGACAGTAAGTTCCTCCCCGGAACCAGTCCACCAAGGTAAAATCATGAGACAGGGTAGGTATACAGATTTATTGTTGGGCTCACCTGACCTCTAGGGTGTGGGTTATAGGCCTGAGTTTTTGTTTGTTTTGTTTTGCTTTGCTTTGCTTTGTTTTTTAAGTTAAATATCTATTATTCTAGGAACTGTTTGATATCAAACATCTTCTGACATCCCATAACCTTAGTGGGCTATTTTGATTTTCATAACAGAGGCTGTTAAGAGTGAAAAATTGAGCCAGGTGCTGCACTGGTGGCTCATGCCTGTAATCCTAGCTACTCAGGAGGAAGAGATCAGGAGAATCTAGGTTCTAGACCAGCCCAAGCAAATAGTTCTCTGAGACCCTGTATGAAAAATACCCAACACAGAAAAAGGGCTGGTGGAGTGGCTCAAGTGGTAGAGCGCCTGCCTACTAAACATGAGGCCCTGAGTTCAAACCCCAGTACCACAAAAAAAAAAAAAAAAAAAAGAGAGAGAGAGAGATGGAAAAGTTGGGCTGAGGGGATAGCTCAGTGGTTAAGTGCTTCCCTAAGATGTGTAAAGCCATGAGTTTGATCCTCAGCTTTGCGGAAAAAAATAAAAAGAGTTGGAAAGTTTAACTACAATGTTTTTCTCTCAGAGACCTTGAAGAATCGTCCATTTTAGGTTCCCTTGGCATATCCCCATCATTCATGGCTAACTGCTACCATGTTCTTTCCTTTATTCCTAAGGCAGAAACTTGGAGTCAGGAGCCCTACATTCTTGTCCTAGCTGCCCTTCACCCACAGGTCTTAAAATGTGCGGCTTTTTCTCATCCTGGGCACAAATGCTAAACCCTGCCCTGCTTCACGGGGCCATATGAGAGCCAAAAGGATGGCACAGAGAACACCCAAATGCCTGTTCAACCACATCAGAAGCCTCAAGCCTAAATGTGGTAGAGAATTGGGTGTTGGCCCTGTGGTAGAGTGGACTTCCAAACCCTATCTTCCTCCTACACTGCCTGAATAGTGGGTGGCTGCCCCTGGCTGCTTAGTGGTGAAGCACATAGATGCTACTTACTATGCCTTGGTGAGTGCTGCTCTGTGCCCGTGCTGCTGCAGATCTGCAACCCCCTCAGCTCAGCCCAACTTGGCCTCCTCCATCTGCCCTGGCAAGCACAGTAGCACCAACCACATCACAGTGGTAGCAGTGGGAGGTCCCCATCCCCTCTCCAGATCATCCTCTCTGGCCCCAGGTGCTTTGTCCTTACGTCTATTAAATGGGACAGTACATATATCACCTAACACATTGTAGGTACTCAACTGATGCTTATTAAGTTTATGACTGAGTACTAACTCCAACCATTTCATTTAACAGTTGCTTGCCAAAACAAAAATACAAACAACTAATTGGATTTCTTACCATATTAAAAACTAGGGTGGTTGATAGAATGTGTCATACAAGCACAGAATTTTAGAGCCAAAAGGAAGCAAATAAATCTCTTCCAATCCTATCATTCCTCTCTATTGTTTGTTGGTGTGACCAAACTGGAACACGATAGGTTCCCACATTTGAAGGAGATACTGGCTAATACAATATTCAGTTCCACAATGTGCCATGTCCTGGGATGTAGAAATGAATGATACCCAAAATCATTGTTCCTATGGCTCTTCCATGCTAGAGTGGAAAGACAAGCCATAAAATAGTTTCCAATCCTTGATGACCCCAAGGTCTCCCTACCCATCTCCTCATGAGCACTCACCAATCAGGCTTCAATCCCCTCCACTCCACTTGAACAGGTCACAAATGATCTCCATGTTGTCAAATCAGATAGCTATTTTCCCATGATCCCCACCCTTCCTTCCTTCTTCCTCCTTCCCTCTTTCTCTTTCTGAGATAGTCTCATAGTCCAGGCTGGCCTCAAACTTGCAATCCTTCCTGAATGCTGGGATTACAAGTGAGTACTACCACTGCAGCACTGGACTACTGGACTGGGCTAAGACTTCCTTTTTCATGATAAACTTCTTCCCCTGGCTTCCAGAACACAGGGTTCCCACTCCAACCTCACTTGCTGCTCCTGCTCAGTCTCCTGCAACTGGTTTCTCATCTCAGCTCTGCGAGGTGGCCTCGTCCAAAGTGAAGTCTTCCATCTCCTTTCCACTCACCCCCTAGGGCCATGTGCGGTAACTAGGAAGAGTCTACCCATAGTCTCAGGGGTTGTGGCCCTCAATTTTAAACTTCTAGCTTCCAGAACCTTGACAGAATCAATTGCTTTTTGTTTTAAGCCATTCATTCCTTTGGTGACGGTAACACAATTCCCAAGTGTATACAAACACATTATTTCTCCTCTGAGGGACCCCTGAGGTCCAGGCTCAAACACCCATTTGCCTGTGTCACATCCCTGCTGGACGTCCACCTAAAACTACAGATTACAGCTACTGAAAGCACAAACCCTGCGGCCAATGCCTGCTTCTCAGTCTTGCCTCTGACTTTGTGATCTTGGGCAATAATTTATTTCATCTCCCTGGCCTCAGTTACTTCATATGCAATATGGTTTCATTCAAAAGAAAGTACTGACGGAAATTGGACCGGGTCAAGACAAAGGAAAAGCCAGGGCTATTCTCTGAGCTCTCCTCTCACTGCCTTAGGATGCAGATGATAGGCCCACCTTCAGCAGTTTCCCTGTAACCCAGCCCCCAAAACACAGGCTTCCTATCAGAAGCACCAGCCAGGTGGCCCTGACCACTAGACTCTAATATTCTCCCTGCCCATAACAGGCTGGTAACTTCCTGCTGCTGCTCTTCTCTAGGTTGCTTCTGTGTTATTGTCTCAGCCTGTGTCATCTGCATCACAGTCACTCTGATTTGCTCAGAATGATTCCAAATGCTTTGAAAAAAATGGATCTGGATTCAAGTAGATCTGGATTCTCTTGGACCTGGAGAAGTCCAAGAGAATATGAATATGTTATTTAATTACAGATGCATCCTTAGCATCTCAAGGAGGGGACAGCTAGACATGATCAGTAGAAATTACAGGGAAATTACACCTGTCTAGCAAGCACAAGGCCCTAAGTTCAAAACCCATTGCTGAACCCCCCCGCCCCCCAAAAAACGCAAAACTTGCATGGTGGCTCATAGCTGTAATCCCAGCTACTTGGGAGGTAGAGAGAGGAGAATGGTGGATTGAAGCCAACCTGGGCAACCTGGGCAAAAAAGTTAGAAAGGTCCTACATCAAAGAAGAAAGGGGGCAGGGTGGAAGAAGCATGGTGGGTCATGCCTGAAATTCTAGCTGCTAGGGAGGCACAGATAGGAAGAAGGCAGATAGGAGGATCAGTCTGATGCTGGCTGCAGACAAAAACAACAGAAGATCCTATCCGAAAAATAACTAAAGCGAAAAAGAGCTGGGGGCGTGGCTCAAGTGGTAGAGCACTTGCCTAGCAAGTCTGAGGCCCTGAGTTCAAATCCCAGTACTGAGAAAGAAAGAAATTATAAGGAGGATCTTTTGGCTGAAAGAGAGTCCTGACTCACAGAACTGTAGAAAGAGAAGGCTGAAGCAGAGGGCAGCACACTATTTGGCAGAGATGCTATCATAAAGTAACATGTGTCAGGAAGGCCATGATCTTCCAACCCGGAGAGCGTGTGACCTGGTGTAATGAGATTCTGTACTGTGCGGTTTATGCAGTCTTCCATGATCACTACCATTATTGTGACTAAGAAAGAGTCAGGCCAGCATGTCACTGATGCAGAGATTCAGAGGGAGTTAGTGGACAGTTCCTGTCAAGGTCTCTCTGCATCAGAAGCCCATCCCGTTGAACAAGTAAATGTATCAACATTTGATACAGTTACTAAGGGGAGGGATAGCCTGATGGTTAGGGGCAGACTTGGAGACACATGGCCTGGGCTTCAGTCTTGACTCTGCCACCTATTGTGTGCCCTTGGGCAATGTACTTAGGGTCCGTGCACTCCAGTTTCATCTGTGAAATGAGGGTAACAATAGTTTTTATATCATAGAGACACAGTGAGGACTAAATGAGTTAATACACAAAAAGTGCTAACCAGGTGCCATGCATAGGAAACCCACCAGATGTCAGGGGTCCAAAGAGTTCAGTGCTTGGCCCTTGCCTCCTCCCTATCCACAAGCTCTTCCTTGGTGGTGATCAGCCATGCCCATGGTTTTAAATACAACCTATGCACCAACGATTCCAAAACGTATATGCCTAACAAGTCCAATGTGTCCCCAATTCCAGCCTGATGTCTAATATTCACCTCAAACTGACTAAGCCCCAAACTGCCCTTGATCTTCTCCCTCCAAAACTTGCTCCTCCTGTCATCTCTCTTGTCTCAGGAAAAATGGCAGCTCCATCTTTCCAGGAACTCAAGTCAAAAACCTGGGAGACATCTGTGATTCCTCTCTGTCCCTCATATTTCATATCTAATTGGTCAACAAATCCTGTTAGCTATATCTTCAACACATACCCACACTCCACCCACTTCTCACCACCTCCCCTGCTACTGCCTGGTCCAATCCACCATCCTCTCCCACCTGGATTATTGCAAAAGCTTTCCTGCTTCCTGTCCATTTTCATCACAAAGCCAGAGGTATTTGGTTAACATTTTAACTTACTCTTCTGTTCTATTCACTCAGAGTAAAAGCCAAAGTCTAAAAAATAAGCTATGGGTCCACCTCCACCCTGCCCTCTTACCCCTCACCTCCATGACCTCATCTCCTTCTCTCCTTGCTGTTCCTCCAGGCAGGGCTCTCTCCTTCCTCAGCACTTGATCCTTTGCCAGAGGCTCTTCCTTCCAGCCTCTCTCCCTCACCTGCTGTAGATTTTTATACAAATAGTATCTTCTCATTAGAGCCTTCCTTGGTCAGCCTATTTAAAATGGGAATCCCCAAAGCTCCCTATCCCTTTGTCCTGCTTTGTTTTTTCTTTCGTATTCATCTTACTTGCCTATGCGCCTATAGAATTTAGGTTCTGTGTGGGCATGAGTGTGGCTAATTCAGTGACCTTTCCCCAGTGACCTAAGTCAATGACCTACCATTGCACAAAGGTTAAACTATTATTGTTATATCTTTTGCAAAAACCCTTTTGGAACTCAACATTTGAACTCAACCGGAAAAGAGACAGGGAGGGAGGGAGGATGAAAAGAGAGAGAGGGAGGCGGAAGGGGGAGGGAGAGAGGGAGGGAGAGGGAGAAAAAGGGAGAGGAAGAGGAGGAAGAGAGGTAAGGGGAGAAGTGTGAGGTGGAGGGAGTAAGAGAGAGAGAGAGAGAGCGAGAGAGAGAGAGAGAGAGAGAGAGAGAGAGAGAGAGAGAGAGAGAGAGAAGGAATTAATGAAGCTGGGGCCTATTTTTAGCTATACCTTCCTAGGTGCTGAACCGTGAGCGTCATCCGTGCGCTCAATGAAGGACTACCGTGACATCTGTCATTTTATGCTAACTTTCAGCCTGTGGGTTGGAGACTGCGCCAGGGTTGTAATCCTGCTTCCGACGCTGGCAGCTGCGACGCCCAGGTGGCGGGGCGGCCAGGCGGGGCGGCGGGGAGCGGGAGGCGGGACTCGGGACTCGGGGTCCCCGCCCTCGCGCGGCCGGCGCTGCACGCTCTCCATGGCGGGCCCCGCGCCCTGGTGGCCGCTGGCAGCGCTGGCCCTGGTTCTGGCGCTGGCCCCGGGCTTGCCCGCAGCCCACGCTGGGCAGACGCCGCGCCCCGCCGAGCGGGGGCCCCCGGTGCGGCTCTTCACCGAGGAGGAGCTGGCCCGCTACGGCGGGGAGGAGGTAGGCGGGCCTGGGGACCCGGCCGCTGCGGCCTGCGGGCCGGGGACCGGGGACCCGGACCCGGGAGGCGCCCGCGGCGGCCGCCCTCTCCTGGAAGCCCGGCCCCGCGCAGTCCTCCGGGGCGGAGGGAAGGGAGGCCACGCCGGCCCCCTGGGTTAGGTGGGCATTGGGTGGGCCCAGGGAGGATCCGGGCTTCCTTGACCCTTTTCCTTTTCCTTTCGCTGAATCCCAGGCCCCCTCTGTAGCCGACCCCTCAAACCCTCATTTAATTTGTCTGTGCCCTTGAGGATGCGCGCAGAGGGAAAACTGAAGGTTGGACTGTCCTCCCCGAACCCCACGTTCCATCAGTAGTCAGGAGGCCTCTAGAAACTCACAGCCACCTGGCCATCTGGGTTGGGGGCCCCTAGGTCATGGCTTCCATGAAGTCTGATATAGATGGGGAGGGGCTGGGGCTGGGTAGAGAGAACATGGTACCCTGGCATTTCAGAGCTGAAGGAAACAACCCCTCCTTTTACAGATAACTAAGGCATGCCACCTGTTAGTAGTGGCCCAGAAAAGGACCTGGTACTCTTGATAAAACCCTCCAGCCTGGGCATCTTAGCTCCTGAGTTAACTGACCTTACAGAAGGATCCAAGGGTGTCAGCTTGGATGTCATATATGAAGAAGTTGGCTAGACCTGTGGGTCTATGAAGCCCTGAGGAGGGAGACATGACAGGGAGGTGATTGGCTGTTAAGGGACATCTTTTGGGGTGGCAGGGGAGGGACCCAGGTGGTGCATTCCAGCTGCTGGACCTGCATCCCACCTGCGGCTCAGGCTCCAACTATGGAACAAGACCTTCCTTCCTTTCTCCCTGCTGTTTTTGTGTCTCTCATGTTCCTGTCTTGGCACTTTCCAGTGGCCCTCTGCTTGACCACAGGCCTCATGACGCACGTGACTGATGAGGGCCTGATCATTACCTTGCATTTTCCTGGCTTCAATCTTTCTGGCACCTCTGTCTGTCCTGAGTCTTGGGTGAACTTCCCAGTAGACACTCAGAGGCAAAGGGCGTTTTGTACTAAATGTGCCTTCTGGTGGTCAGGGAAGAGACTGGGCTGAGCCTGGGGTTCCAAAGTGCCAGGTCCTCCTCTGATTCACGCTGTGATTTGGGACATGTCATTTAACCTCCCTGAGCCCAAATAGCTTCATCCATAAGAAAAAGTATTAGACAAATTATCTTCAAGGCCCCGTCTGGTTTTCAAATTCCTCCAAAGTCCCTGTTTGACATTTGGGAATTACTTTTTTTTTTTTTTGGTGGTACTCAAGTTTGAACTCAGGACCTTAACTTGTCACTTGAGCCATACCAGCAGCCTGGGAATTACGATTAAAAAAAAAATCTTTTCTTTAGGAAAATCACCAATCTCTTATTCCTCTTTGCCTTAAACTTTCAAAACTTAGAGAAGGATAGGGGAAGCTAACATTTATTTCCCTTGCCTGCTAAGTGCTTTATATCTCTCGATAACCTCAACAGCCCATAGTTTTATTATCTTCCTATCAGAAAGGAGAAAGCTGAGGCACAGAGAGGATAAGTAATTTGCCCAAGGCAATACAGCTCATGAGTGGTAGCTCAAACACAGGCCTATTTGGTTTGAAAACTTATGTCAGACCCACTGCATCCTTGTGACTCCTCCTTTGGTTTCTTGGCAAAAGGCAACTCTTGTGCTGCTGTTTATGGCTTGCTATGATCAAAAATAGGTAAAATGATGCATCCATGTATATATATCCAACCATGGATCACAAAGGATCTCACCTGCCCAGGTGGCTGAGGGGACAGGCAAACCAGGGGATGAAGCTGGTACTGAGTGTATGTCTTTACCATGTCTGGACATTTCTGTTCCTGAGTTTGCATTTATGCTCCTGAGGAGTCCGTCTACCCTCTCTCAGTTGTGATTTCCCAGGCCTGAAAATCTGAGCCTGAGGACCCTCAGGCTCAGGTTGGTGGACTCCATCTCCATACAACAAAAGACACTTGGTGTTTAGCTGATACTACCCTTCTTCTGCACCACAGCCTGTGGCACGTCTGTGAACAGTGCTCCCTCAGAGGGCACCAAACATGCCTCTCTGTACCTTTTCTACGACTTCTGCTTAGTGCCTGCACCTTCAGTACAGAGTTTAACAAGGAGATAATTATTTTGCTGTTGAAGAAATGGAGAGTGTTAGTGATATATGCATGTTTTTATACATGAATGTTATGTTTATATGACTCTATGCACAGAAAAGTAAGAAACATCAAAGAAAAGATGACATAATGGAAACTCAACCACACCATGATTAAATTATAGTTGTATTATATTTTTAAAAATTGATATAAATCCATAACCCCACTTGTAAGCAATCAAAGCTGGGGAATAAATAATCATGGTGAAGAAAGGTGAGAGGTCACAAAGAAAAGGCAGTGTGCTGGCTTATAAATTTAAATTTACCCTTGTTAGGGGAAGGGGAGTGAGTATCAGCCACATTTCTGGGGATGGTCTTTGGGAGCCAACTAGGGCTAAATGCTCACAGACAGTTTCCTTCAGCACTTCTCAGGGAAGCAGGTGGTATATCACTTAGAGAAATTGAGGCCTGGGAGGTCATGTGACAGTGACATGCTTCCTTGGGGAAGTTGTTCAACTTCTCTGAGCCTCAGCCCTTATGTCTATTAAATGTGGTAGTGAAAACACTTGGCCATAAGCTCCACAAGGATAAGAATCCTAAGACCACCCCAGAGAAGGCCATGCAGTGCCTCCCACCCTCACTTGGCCTGCGAGCCTCCATGCTGACGTCTCTCACCACTGATGGGGCTGAGATGCAGGAGAAACCTGGTCCTAGGTGTCCTGGATCTGTGCCAGTCGTCCCAGTCCACCTGGATGAAGGCTAGAGAATCTCAACAGATCTGCTTTTGTGTGCTTGTCTCTTGTTTTGGTGATGGTGGTGTTTCTAAGTTAACATTTTATATTCATTAATACAGCAAAAATAAAATGTAAAACTCATGGTTAATAGAGCCATGAGAGCCTTGTAAAGACTTGGAAATAGTGTTAAGGCAGCAGGAACCAGCAAGTGCAAAGGTTGGCCAAGTGAAGATGACATGGCCTGTATGAGAAGAAGACCTCAAGGAAACAGTGAAAGGAATGTAAAAATAGGATGAAGAAAGTCAGGGGGATGGCAAAGGCCAATGTTGGTGCTGGCAAAAAGCCAGAGGAATAAGGATTCTACAATGACTTTAACTGTGATGTTGTGCGGGTTTTCCGTGAGGATTACTAAACTGTAAACATCTGTGATGGTTATGGGCTTTTCATGAGTATTAATAAATCAACACTTTCATGTGAAAAAAAGAACCATAGAGCCATGAGCAATCAGTATCGCTTGCATATTTCTGACCCTGAACATGGCCTATTGTTTTGTTTTGTTTTTTATTTTATTGGCTTATTGTTTTTGAAGGATAAACTGAGAAACTCTTAAATGTAATTAAGTTGTTTATATAATTTGGCCCAGGAATTCCATATATTAAAATAGGCCTCAAGGAAGTAACTCACTAAATTAGAAAGTAATTTTTAGAAAGATATCATCATGCTGTCATTTATAATTGCAAGGACTGAAAACACCCTAATCCCCAAAGTAGAAGACCAATTACACAAGTAGGTACACAGTGTAACTCATAGATGGGGTCTCCTGTAGCTATTTAAGTGACAACCATCTTCCAATACATGGAAATGTCATGTGAAGTCATGTTGCCTGTAAGATCAAAGTATAAAATAGATCATTTACCTTGATGACATACTTGTATGTCCATTGATGATGAAGAAATTTAGATGGATTTGAATTATTCATCATTTAACATTCTTTGGAATTGTTATTTGCATAAAGTTATTTGAATCCCTGATTGTTTTGTGCTCTTCTCACAACACCTGATGGCTTTTCTGAGATGTGTGAGTGGCCATGACATTGCTTAGGTAGGTAGCAAGCTCACCAAAGACCAGGCCTTGTGACCTTATCACCGCTTTTTGCATGGCTCATGATGGGAAGAGACTTTCCTAACTTGTCTGTGAAAGCTGGGTTTTTGGCCTCCTCTTCACAGCTTCTTCCCTGCTTTCTAGGAAGATCAGCCCATCTACTTGGCAGTGAAGGGTGTGGTATTTGATGTCACTTCCGGAAAGGGTAAGTGGTTTGGCATTTTGAATCTTTATTTCTGGGGAACTCAGAAACCAGAGCAAGTCCTTTTCCTTCTGTTTTAGATGACCAGATTGAGTTACTCTTTGTCACTGTTTTACTTCCAGTGATTTTTTTTCCTACTAATACCACGCTTCTACTCAAAAGCCTTTTATGGCTTCCCAAATTCATATTTATTGATGACCTATTCTGGTTGAAGCAAGAAGCAAAGTGTTCTTTAGCAGAGAGCTGGCATCATAGAACATTGTTAGAATCTTTTAATGCCACCTAATGATTTCTTTAATTGTAACTGCAAATGATATCATGGAAGCAGTTTTTAATGGTTCATCTTTTATTTGATTCAAAACACTGCTGAGTAACAATAGACTTGGTTTCCACCAGCATTTAAGAAGAGACAGTTTTCTTGTTTGCATTTTAATTTTTAAAGGGACTGTTTTCAAAAAGCCACTTCTCAGCACACATGTGTGATTTATCCCATAATTTGAATTAGGGGAACCCAACACGATGGCTGGAAGTGAGCTACTGGGCTTTATATCTTCACTGCGTATTTGTCCTCAGGCTTGGAGCCTGTTTTAGGATTGGGTGGGGCCACATGCAGGTTCCTGGCTTCTCTGCATGCTCGCCCACATTCTTCCTTCCTTCCTCCCCACTGCAGAGTTTTATGGACGAGGAGCCCCCTACAATGCCTTGACTGGGAAGGACTCCACCAGAGGGGTGGCCAAGATGTCCCTGGATCCTGCAGACCTCACTCATGACACTGTGAGTCATATTGTGAACTTTTGTTGAAATGCTCCATACTCTCAGCCATGGCTTTTTTTTTCTTAAAATTCTGGACAATAGCAAAGCTTCTTTTTTGTGTGTGGGGGGAGACTGAGGTTTTCAAAGCTTCTTAATTAATTTCTTTACCCTCCAGTCTGCCTTGTGTAGTGACCAATCATTTTCTTTCTTTTTTTTTTTTTGGTGACACTGGGGTTTGAACTCAGAGTCTCAGGCTTGCGAGGCAGGTGTTCTATCACTTGAGCCACTCCACCAGCCCTTTTTTGTATTGGGTGTTTTTTAGATATGGTCTTGAGAACTATTTCTCCAGGCTGGCTTTGAACCACATCCTCCTGATTTCTGCCTCCTGAGTAGCTAGGATTACAGGCATGAGCCACCAGTGCCTGACTATCCAATCATTTCCATGAAATAGATTGTCTTACTGTGTCAGGCCTACTCAGAAATCTTCCGTGGCTGCTCCCCATTGCCCAGAAAGTCCTGTCTACACTCTTGTAAACTTATAATCCAACTCAGTTTGGCCCCAAGCTGCCTTGGCAGCCTCATCCACCTTATGGTCTGCACCCACCATCCTCCAGCCCCCTTTTGGGTTGGAATCTGAGACCCATTTCCCAGGTCACTCTTGGTAGCTTAGTGGATGGACTGGGGAGAAGAAAGGTCCCCCCTATGCTATGGAGGACAAAATAGCACCTAAAATTAATCCCAGTGGCGGGGGGCATGGCTCAAGTGGTAGAACACCTGCCTAGGAAACACAAGGCCCTGAGTTCAAACCCCAGTGCCATCACCCCAAAAAAAAAGTAATTCCTACAGCCAGGCTGGCATTCGTTCACCCAAATTGTGCTCAACATCAAATTGATACTGAGATAAATTGAAATGGGTCAGACTGTTAAACCACAACTTATAGAAACAAATTAAGAAAAGGGGAGGCGTATTAATCAGTGTGTTAAAATAATTAACCTATAAATAGAAAAGGTTTACTTTCACTCAGAGTTTTGGAGGTTTCAGCCCATGATCAATTGATCCTGTTGTTTTGAGGTCTGTGACAAAACAGCACGTCATGATGCGAACATGTAGCAGGGCAAACCTGCTTACCTCATGGCCAGGAAGCAAAAGAGAAAGCAGAGGGAGTCTCGGTCCTTTTTATAGGTTCCACCACCTCCCAATAGCACTACTGTGGAAATCAAGCCTTTAACACTTGGGCCTTTAGTAAAGGGGCACTCTGGATCCAAACTATAGCAGGAAATGGACATGAATTTGTAACAGGAGTATCGAGAGTGGTAAGATCAACCCAGGAGGCAGACTGCAACAGAGTGTACCCCAGCCCTACTCCAGGATGGTTGTTCTCTGGAGTGTTCAATTCCTACGCCAGTCAAACAGCAAAAAAATGATAGCCATCACTCCCCTGACATCACACCATGTGCACACACAGGGTTCTCTCTGATAAAGTCCATTTTTCATTATATTTCTCTTGCATTCAGGGTGTGGGGAGGGTAAGGAAGGGCTGGAGAAAGGCCAGTGCCTTTCACTCATCCCATCTCCTGTTTCTTGGGCCTTTCTCCCCAAGACGGGTCTCACGGCCAAGGAACTGGAATTCCTGGATGACATCTTCACCAGAGTATACAAAGCCAAATATCCCATCGTTGGCTACACAGCCCGGAGAATTCTCAATGAGGACGGCAGCCCCAACCTGGACTTCAAGCCTGAAGACCAGCCCCATTTTGACATAAAGGATGAGTTCTGATGTTCTATTTGCAAGGCAGGCTCTCTGGAAGGGCAGGTGGGGACAGATGCTAAATTGCCTACAGAATAGGTTGCCAGAAGCCTCTGAGTCACCTGGATCTGAATAAAGCAGATGTTTAACCTGGAAGAATGACTGCTTGTCACAGTCCTTGTTCCAGTGTTCTGTCTGCCTAGGTATCCCTGGCCACACAGTACCCAGGGTGGTAACAGTAGCCCCAATGGAAAGCTGCCTACACATCACCATATTGCCATTGCCATTTGGGCAGTGGAATTATGAGTGACCTTTATTTCTTCTTTACGCTTTTCTGTACTTGCCAAATTTTCTGCCATGACTATGTTGACTTTATAATAAGAACAAAAATAAACCTATTGTTATAGAAAGAGAATTTGTTCACATATGCCAGTTCCTGGATTCTCATCACACTACTTGTAGGCAGGTAGGCTTGTGCTTTCTGTTCCTCTGCCTGGGAAGAGGCCAGGCAGCAGGGACCATGCACGCAGCGTGGTGGAATTGGAGTGGGATTAATTGGAAGGGTGAGTGATAAGAAAGGAAGTGAGTGAGAGCGTAAGCCTGCTGTGGCCCCATGGGCAGCTAGAAAGTGGTAAGGAAGGCTGGAGTTTTGCATGGCACAGCCTGATTGAGGTCACTCTAAGAATGGTGACATGCAGCCTTACACCAGACTTGAGGTCAGATTCCAGAAGGAAATCCCTCTTTAGAGGAAATTTTTCCTTCCAGGGAGCATTGGGCGATGTCTAGACACATTTTTCATTTTGGTCGGGACCAGGGGAGCTGCTAAACATCCTGTAATGCATGGGACAGCACCCTCCCCCACAACGAAGAATTACCTCATCCAAAGTATTGATCATGCTGAGGCTGATCTTAGAAACCTTACTGTAGAGATGAATTTATTTGCTATACAGCTTTGTTATTTATTAAAATAAACAATTGTTCCCAAGAAAGAACTTTCGCATTAAGCAGAAGAATGTTCAAAATGCTGACACCTGGGCTTATGATTCAGTGCTTCTAGAACAGGGCTTGGGGATGGCATTTTTAACGAGCACCCTAGGACACTGTGATGCAAATGGGTGCATGTGAACTTTGAGAGATGCTGCCTTGTGCCTTTCCAGTCACTCAGGAAGAATAGCTCAGGTCCTTTCTGAGGGCCAGGTTTGACCTTTCCTTTTCTGGTTAATGTGTTCAGGACTCGGGATGGGGGGAGGTCCTAATGGTGCACCCCTAGGTCCTGCTCAAGAAGCTGGGGACTTGATTGCCATCCAAGAGTAATGGGCTGGCCCTCGAACTTATCAGAAAGGACTTAGGTCTGGAATTCTGGAGGTTGTGCAGTCAAGGTGGTCTGTACCAGGACATTTTGCCCAAAATAGATGGTATATGAATGAATGCAAATGACATACAAGTCCTTAGGAACGGCCAAGAAATGACTTTTTACTTATATCCCCACACTTCTCACACCACCTTGAAATGGCAGGAAGCTAGAAAGCTACTCCCTAGACCCCTATCTGCACAGGACAAGGTCTCCAAACTCAGGCTTAGGAACTTTCCAGGACAGTTTTCCCTGCTCCCCACCTCCACTCCTGCCCCCATCAAAGCAAAAGTTTTCCTTCCTGGCCTTAATTCACCACTCCTCTAGGGACTACTCTGCCCAGTTCCCTGCCCTACTCTTCCAAGGCTGCCTTCTATACCCCAGCAGGGCCTTTCACTTAGAGGTTATAGCTCTCATTTAAGAGATTCTGAGCCAGATGTTGCCAGGGCAGTATACAAAATGCTGGGCAGCCTGCACAGGCTCTAGAGAGCATGGATGCAACCCCAGGGGAGGGCACAGGTTGGCCTAGGAATTTGCACCATTGGCACAAATCCCTGGAAACCCAAAGCCCCATGTGCCCCCATTAGCTTATATGTTTCCTTTGCCCTCCTTTTAATAACCAGCCTAAGCACACCTCTTTCAGGACACCTTCCTCTCCTCTGGGATCCCCTAGAACCTCCCTGCACCTGTCTGCCTGTAATGGCCAAACCAGAGTGTCTTGAGGGCCCAATACTATCACTGAACTAGATGGCCTGGGACTTTCCTGGTTTTAATACTAAAAGTCATGCATCCCAGCAAGCCTCCTTGGCCCTGGACAATCCAAGAAATAACTGCACTAGCAGCTGAGTACAGGCCTCCTTCCAGCTGTGGCACTCCAGACCTGTGCCACCCTGCAATGAAGAAGAAAGGAAGGGGCTGCAGTTTACCCTGGAGAAGGCTGAAGGGAGGACCATGGGAGAATGGAGGGAACTTGTTCTTTAGCAGTTTTCATACAAGTTCAACTGAAGCATGTCTAATGGGAAGTTCAATGCCTGTTCTACAAAAGGTGCTCCATGCATTGGTGTAACTTGTAAAGCTCTTCCCCAAATCTAAGCTGCTTCTGCTGAGTTACAGCCCACTATACCCCCTCTTGGGGGGAGCATGTTTCTCTGCATCCTAGAATGCCAGTCAGTACCCTCTCTGTGCTCTGCGGACCTGTAACAGCACAGAGCCTTGCCCCTTGCAGATGGCACAGAGGCAGCTCCTTTGCCATGACAGGAAAGAAGAAACAAGACCCTGGATCATGGAACCATTGAAAAGCTATTAAACGAGGTCAATATCTATTGAATGTCCTGTCAAGGTGATCAACGGAGTTGGCTGGCCTGCAGAAGAGCAGAGCAGAGGGGCCTGACCAGCAACCCAGTTCCCTAGAAGCCAGGGTCACGCAGAGGTCATCTAGCCTAGGTTCTAGCTGTATCCTAGCAGAAGAGCTCCATACTTAAACACTTTCAGGCACTTGCTCCAGGAGTTTCTTCAGCATCTCAACAACTTCTACTCAGAGCCCACATCACTGTGAGGCTGTGAGTGTCCTGTATGCAGAGCTCTCCTTCAGGACCCCAGGGATGCAGCCGCCTCCCCCGCTCCACCTCCTGCTCCCCCATAGATGGTGGCTTCAAGCACACCCAGGCCTTGCTTTCAGAAGCCTGGAACCACATGGCTTTACTGGTGGGAAAGGTGACTGACCAGGCAGAAGTTGGCCCTGAAGGCTCTTTCTAGGACAGCAAATGTAATCATTGCCTGGAGGATTATTTAATACTGTGTTGTGACAGTCATCTTTTATGCTCCATTTCACAACCCAACAGTCTAGTACATGTGTAATCTCTCACTGCCTGATTCCACCTTCTTCCCTGGGCTCCTCAGCTAGGCAGAACTGCTCGTGCCATTCTGGGACATTTGTAGGTACAAGGAGTTAACATTCCTGGGGGCAATCCTCAGCTAAGGAAGGGCTGCTGCAAAGACAAGTCTTCCCATGGCTCATTCTATAGGGTTTTCAGAGCTGTGTTCATCAGTGTTCTGTCACTGTGACAAAATACCGGAAGTAGGGATAAAAGATTTATTTTGCTCATATTTCAGAGGTTTAGCCCATGGTTGGTTGTCTCCATTACCTTTGGGCTTGTAGTGAGGCAGCACATCATGGTGGGGAACTTTGTGGTAAAGCAAAGCTGCTTATTTCATGCCCTCCAGGAAACAAAGACAGAGAGAGAAAGAAAGAGAGAAGAAGGAGTTGGGGTCTCCATATCTCCTTCAAGGGCATGCTTCCAATGACCTAACTTCCTCCCTCCAGACTCCACCACTTAAAGGGTTCACCACCTCCCAATTGTACCACCCTGGAGATCACACCTTTAACACACTGACCTCCAGGGGTCATTCCAGAGTCAAACCCCAATAACTCATGGTAGTATCATCTAGATAACACACCCCTGGGTTGACTGATTCTCCTTCCTGGTTTCATGTTTCCAGTGCAAATCTGCCTGGTCCCATGGATCACTTCCCAATGAGTATAGGCGCACATAAACCCCCATCCTGTTCTCTGTTTTGGGGGCTAAGACCCAAGTTTACTTCCCAGGCTAAGACACACATTTACTTCCTCAGATACCAACATAATCTCACTATGCCAAATTCAAGTTTACTAATAACATTTTGCTTGTGTGTAGCACTTCAGAGGGTACAAATTTCTAATTCCAGTTACTATAGTTATGCAACCAGAATTTAGTGGTGTGAATCAGCCTTCATTGTGCTCAGAGAGTCTATGAATATGTAACTCAAGAGCATGCAGTGGGAACAGTGTGTCCATCCCTGATGTCTGGGGCCTCAGCTGGAATAATAAAGGCCCCCTCACTAGCTCAGTCACATTTTCCATGGGTGATGCCTGATGCTGGCTGGGAGCCCCTTTCCTCTCTATGGGCTTTTCACAGCATGGTGGCTGGGTTGTCCTTCCTTTTATGATCTAGTCACTGAAGTCAGGCAACATCACTTCTTTTCACTTACAGGAACCACAAAGTCCCATCCAGGGTCAAGGGGCATAAGGCCATTTGGGGGAAAACGCAGTCCTTTATGGTTCCCTCCCACATTATGTCCTGAAACTGTACTTTGTCTTCTTAGAATCTGTGGTGTTTAGGCTGATGCCTGGTGTATAGCAGGTGTGCACATGGTAAATCACGTGGCCTGGAGAGAGACAGATTTGAGTCACTTCACCTGTGTTTGAATCCTGGCTTCAACACTGTGACCCTGGAGAAGCTAGTTAGCATCTTGGAACCTCAGTTTCCTAAGTATTAAAATGAGGACAAAAATACCCATTTCACAAAGCTGGTGCCAAAGATTAAGTGCAACCTGTGTGTAGCCAACTCCTGATGCCTGGTGGGGGCTCAGTTTCTTTTCATGTCTTCTCCTTCTACTGCATTCCAGCCCCCATGTCCTGGACTGACAGGCATCTTGGGCTTCCTGGCAGATATATATTTGGGGTCTTGGTAATAGACTGGGCCTTGGAGGAAGCCCAAATGAGCAGCTCCAGTGCTCTGTCTCTTTACATCTTTGGATTCCTCTTGCAGGTCCCTCACCCAGTTCTACTGATTGAGAGAAGGCTCCTCCTGCAGTCTCAGAATCTCAGGCTTCCCAGAATCCCTGGGGGTTCCTGTGGCAGTGGGAAAACTTGCCCCTTCCCCAGCCATGGCCTGGGCCACAGTCTTGCAGCCTGAGGTCTAATAGCAGCTGTGCCTGAGGCCCCCACTGGGGTGCAGCTTATCTTACCCCACTCAGGCACAGAGAT